ATTCGGCGTATGATTCTTTAATATTCTGCGAATTCCTTTAGTGTAGGTGGTATTAATAAGTTCTCTGTATGCTCTTTGAATAATTTCAAAACCTATATCGCTCTCAATATAAATGGTAATGTATCTATGAATAAAAGATCAAGGAAAATTTGTGTGGCCTTTTCGAATTTCATTACATTGTATTGAATTGCGATAAAGGAGTTGTAACGATCCTGCTTTGCTGAGGTAGCTCAACGGTGTCCAGGTGTTCGTTCCAACATTTATTTATGTCAGGAGTGGTTGCTGGAAGAGTTCGACCCGGTTCCCAGAGTATGACACGTAAGCGGGGTTCAGTGAAATCGAATCGGTATGCGTTTATTAACAATTATCGTGTACATAAGATAGATAGAGTTCGTGCTGCAGGGGCTCGTCCGCCCGTAGGATGCCGGGGACTTCTGCGTCGTCGTTCGGCGTCGTCGCGGCCGGCGGCGGTGGCGGCGGCGGCGGGTGCCCTGTGGATGAGAAAGAAAAAGCCACGTCTCTCATGGCTATGCTTATGTCTAGGAGGATGAGACAGTTTGGAGGCCGCTTGGGTCTACCAGTCTTGAGCAGAGGGTGGAGGCCGCTTGGGGCTACCAGTTTCGAGCAGAGGGTGGAGGCCGCTTGGGTCTACCAGGTCCGAGAAGAGGGTGGAGACCGCTTGGGTCTACCAGGTGGGATCGGTTCGGCAGATGGCCGGGGAGCGCCTCGGAGAACCAAGTGGTGGAGTCCCCCGAAGATCGGGTGTCACTAATGACGGTCGATCTTGGGGTGTGGGATCCCAAAGGTCGGATATCACTGATGACGGTCGGTCTTTAGGGGGGGTGGGGAGAAGGGGAAGGGGGGAAACAACTAACTACAATGTATTGGGTGGACGGGGTACTAGACACTATCCCGAAAAAGACTCCGCAGTTAACTCCCAGAGAAGTTTGCTCACTCCAAAGTGTAAGCCTTACCTTCTCCGATCGCCGTCGGCCGCAGAGTGACCTGTATGGGCCACCGGCGCCCTTTTTATATCCTCCCGGCCCTCGCCAGTGTGACTGTAGTTTCATAATCCTATAGCCATGGCCATACTGCGTGTGGCTTGTGGTGGCTATTGGTCAGTGTGACCGTTTCCTTTGTTTGGCGCGCCCGCCCGGATATTTAAATTTGAATATTTCCGTTTAACTTAAATTTATTTCGGCTTCTTGCCTTTTTACGGTATTGAACTTATAATTATTTCGGCTTCTTGCCTACTTAACGACTATCTATAGCTACTGCTTATGTTATTATATTATATTTATTTGTGCGCTCCTGAGCGTCACAGAGTTACCGAATATTGTTGAATGCTCTACGTTATTTTTATCGGACTTAATGAAAATTATTTGTTTCTTGAAATAGTGTATTGATTTTTCTGTTAAATGAATAGTGTTGCTATTATCTTCTTCTGCACTGTGTTGAGTAAATTCACTATGATGATTTTCTTCAATTTTAATTCTTGATAATGCATCGGCAACTCAACTTTCCTTCATTTTAATATAGTCGAGTTTAAATTGGTATTTGTTTAATTTGGCTCTTTGTAACTTGGCATTAGGTTCTCTTAAGGTATGCAGCCATCTAAGAGGTTGATGGTTACTAGCAATAAGAAAATGTCGTCCTAGTAAATAATGTCGAAAAGTTTTAGTGACCCAAACTAATTATTTTTTGATAGCACTGTAATTTAATACGTGCTTATTAAGTGTTCTGCTAATAAAGGATATGGGATGACAATTTTAATAAAGAACGACGCCAAGGGCTAAATTACAGGCATCTGTTGTTAAAGTGAATTTGTTTTCGAAATCGGGTAATCGGAGTATTGGTTATGTAATTAATAAAGCTTTAAGTTTTTTGAATGCTTCTATGTAGTGGAGATTTTCTGTATCTATCTTTGCTCCTTTTTTTTAAACATTTGGTCATTGGTTTGCGTAGCTTGGGATAAATTTGCGATAATAACCGGTTAATCCAAGGAAGGCTCTAATCTCTTATACTTTTGTTGGAATTGCATATAAAACTATGGCTTTAACTTTAAGGGTGTTTGATTTAATGCCATTAGGGATTACGATGTGCCGAGAATGCTAGCTTTGCTGCTAGCTTTTTGAAGAATTCACATTTATCTAACTGCAATTTTAAATTGGCTTCTGAAAGTCTTGAAAAAACTAGTTTTAACGAATTAAAATGTTCGGTAAGGGATGTGAAAAAACTATATTATAATCAAAATACACTAAACAGAGTTTGTTGAGCAACGGTCGAAAGTTTTTATTTATACACCTTTCAAAAAAGTAGCAGGTGCATTTCTAAGGCCAAATGGCATTCGGAGGCATACGTAATGACAGCTTTTGGTGGAAAGTACAGTTTTGGATATTGACTCTGGGTCCATTTTTATTTGATGAAATCCATTTGCCAAATCGATAGTTATAAAATATTGGCATTTTCCTAGTTTAACAAAAATTTGGTCCATGATTGGTATTGGATACCTGTCGGCAATTGTTCTTTCATTGAGCTTAATTTCCCAGAAGCATCCGTTTTTTTTTGGTACTACCTAGGTAGGACTATCGTATGGTGAAATTCTTGCCCTAATTAACCCCTAGTAAAGCATTTCCTGCATTTGGTTTTCGACGTGTTTAATGGTATTTGTAAATGTTAGATTGTATCTTTCTTTACATTGAAGATTTTTGAGTTTTTTCATAAACCTTTTAACCTTTAAGTTTCATCCTGATTTAGGGGATCTAATGGAAACAATCTAAAAACTTTTTTTTATTGATGCCTGAGCTTTTTAGGTTCTGGTGCCTTTTATATATACACATTTATTTTTTTTTCTGATCTTGAAGTAATTTATTTGTATATTTTATCAAGAAGAGCAGCTGTGCTATTTTTGTAATTTATTATTGATTGTGCATTTTTCAACATTTTTCATTCTGCCAATCAGTATATCGTAATTATAAGAAAAACTGTTTGTATAAAATGGTTCATTTGTTTTGAAACTACTATTGATGGGTAACTTAATCAAGTTGTTCAACGTAATAGGACCATTTGATGTCAAAACTTCACATTTAGTATTTTGAATAGGGAGACGAAATATATTTTTATTGGTCATATTTGTTATGTATAAGCAAAATGTATTCTCGTTACATCGCACATCCAAAACTAATCTGTATTCCTTCGTTCTATAAGCACACACATGTATACACACACACGTTACTTTTGTTCATTCTCTCGCTGATCTCTGAATAAAGTCAGTCTGTACCAAGCACTCACCGAGAACGCTCCTAACCAAACACAACATTATTGGCGACGAGGATAAAAAGCAGAATCTCAGCCACAAAAATTATCGTTTTTGTGTAAAATCCTAAAGGAATTCAACATTCTTGTGTAAACCGTGTTATCAGCCGCAAAAACACATCGTTTTTGTGTAATACAGTGTCGCGTAGTCGTTGATTTTCATCAAGATGCCGGCAGATCAGAACATAATCCAGACAATGCTTGCTCAACAGCAAGAATTTACAGCAGCTCTTATTGAACAACAACGAACATGGATGCAAGCAATCCTAGAAAAAAACGCTTCTCCAGTTGCTAGTGATTCAAGCCACGCGGGTGAATTATCTATGTGTCCTCCATTCCACAATTTCGACAAAGACAATCAAAATTGGGAGTCATATCTGGAACAATTATCGCAGCACTTCAACGCATATTCGGTTAGTGCAGAACAAAAACAAAAGGCATATTTCCTTTCATGGTGTGGTGTTAACATATTCGAACTATTAAAAAATCTTTTCGGGAGTAACAATTTGAACACGTATACATACAAGCAGCTCACAGACAAGCTAACGGAGCATTTCACTACAAAACGCCATATTGTAGCAGCTCGCTACGAGTTTTTCAAACGAGAGATGAAGCATTCACAAACACATAGAGAGTGGGTAGCCGACTTGCGCGGGATCGCTCGTGAATGCCAATTTGTGTGCAACGCAAACGGTTGTTTATCAAATTATGTAGATGAGATGATACGAGATCAGATCATAGTACATACTCCGTATGATGCAGTCCGGGCATCTGCTCTTCAAAAGTCACAGCCAACTCTTGAAGATGTTCTCATAGTTGCAGAAACCTATGAGACAACAACAAAAACCGTTGCAACGCTAAAAGAGAACGTATACAAACAGGATCCAATCAATGCGATCCACACATACACAAAAAAGCCAGCAAGCAGTGGAAACGATGCCAGATCGTTTAAAGGTGATCTTAAATCTTGCTCTGGTTGTGGTCAAACTCACCAGAGAGAAAAATGTAAGTTCAGAACCGCCGTATGTCACAAGTGCGGTAGGAAAGGTCATATAGCAGTCGTCTGTATGTCAAAGTATGTCAAGTCAAATGTCAAATGGCCGAGTCAAGTAAATAACCGGGAAGTTAAGTCCAATAAGAACGAAGCAAACGAAGTCGAAGTGATCGAAGCAGTTTACAGTGTCACAGGTCAAGTAAAATGTCAACAAAACAGAAAAGTTATTGACCTCGAAATATTAAAACAAGTTATCTCATTTCAAATGGATTCCGGAGCAACAGCATCCGTGATAAACTCCAATACATACGCCTTGCTGCAGAAGCCGAAATTGCATAAGTGTTCCCGAGTTTTACATGCGTTTGGACATACTCCAATACCAATACTAGGGGAGCTGCACACTTTCGCAAAGTGCGGAGAGAAAGAGAAACAAGTGGTCATAATCGTGGCAAATATAGAAAGTTCTACTAATCTCTTCGGCATGGATTTATTTAACGTTTTCGGATTTGATATCATGCAAGTATCAAACATTTTTGAGGTACATAATGACAAAGTAAGTGACCTCTGCAACAAGTACAGCGAAGTGTTTGAACCAGCCATGGGTGTCATTAAAGACTTCAAAGCCAGCGTATTTTTAAAATCTTCAGCGACACCAAAGTTTTATAAATGCCGCCAAATTCCGTTCGCGCAAATGGACAAATTTAAAGCCGAAGCAGACAGACTCACTCAAGCCGGAATTTGGAAACCAGTAAAATTCAGCAATTGGGCATCCCCAATCGTGCTCGCTCCTAAGCCAGGTGGCGATATTCGTATTTGTGGCGATTTTAAACAGGCAGTCAACGCACAAATCGACGTCGAACAGTATCCGTTACCAACAAAAGAAGCTCTATTTCACATCATTCGTCATGGTAAGCAGTTCAGCAAGATAGACCTCAAGGATGCCTATCTCCAGATGGAATTAGATGAGGCTTCGAAGGAAATCATGGTGGTAAACACTCCACTGGGCCTTTTTCAATATCAGCGTCTTCCTTACGGGATTGCAAGCGCACCAGCTATCTTCCAAAGATACCTCGAGCAACTTCTAAAAGGAATAGAAGGTTGTGGCAACTATTTAGATGACATCATCATCTCAGCACCTACAAGCGAGGAACATCTGAACCGAATCGACCGAGTTCTCCGCACTCTTCAAGAGAACGGCATCAGATGCAAACGGCAAAAATGCTTCTTTTTCAAGGACGAAATAGAATACTTAGGGCGAAGAATCAGCGCAAACGGCATTCTCCCAGACAGTTCAGGCTTGGAGGCTGTAAAACTGTTGTGTCCGCCTTCTAACTTACAACAATTGGAAGCATTCATGGGTAAAGTGAATTATTATTGTAATTTTATTCCGAACTATTCGCAGTTGGCTGCTCCATTGAATCAACTTCGCAGAAAAGACGTAGCCTTCTTTTTTGGTCCACAACAGCAGCAGGCTTTTACAGCGCTTAAGTCCCACATCATTAACGCAACGCAGCTAGCTCACTTTGATGAAAAATTACCGCTAGTGCTCGCTACAGATGCCTCATCCTTTGGCATCGGGGTAGTCCTTTCGCATCTTCAGCCAGATGGCGGAGAGAGACCCATTGTTTTCGCATCTAAAACGCTCGACAAGCACCAGGTTAAATACAGCCAAATCGAAAAGGAAGGACTTTCCATAATATTTGGAGTAAAGCGTTTTCATCAATACCTTTATGGCAGAAAGTTTATCCTAATCACAGACCACAAGCCGCTTGTAACCATTTTTAATCCAGGCAAGCATCTCCCGTTGATGACGTCAAACAGGCTACAACGTTGGGCTATTATTCTCATGGCCTACAACTTCGATATCCAGTATCGATCCACATCTGCTCATGGTAATGCAGATGCTCTTTCACGCCTCCCAGTGGGTACAGATCCAGACTTCGACAAAGAAGAGGAAGCTTGCCACAATGTAGTCGAAGTATCACCACCGATAAATTCCGAGCAAATTCGCAACCACATGGACAAGGACAAAGTTCTCAAACAGGTCCTGCAGTACGTATCTATAGGATGGCCAGAAAAACTCCAGCCAGGCAACGAAGCCCTATTGCCTTACTTTAACCGGAAGTTTGCTCTTACAATTAACAAACAATTGCTTTGCCTACACACAGACGCAAATCGTATTATAATTCCAGCCAGTCTACGTGCCCATATCCTAAAACTCTTACATGAAGGCCATTGGGGCATTATTCGAATGAAGCAGTTGGCAAGACAACATGTTTGGTGGCCCACCATAGACGATGACATCAAAAGCCTTGCTCAGTCTTGTAGCATCTGCAAGTGCAACAATCCTGCACCACCAAGAGAGTACCAAAGTTGGCCAGCAGCAACAACAGCATGGGAGCGAATTCACATCGACTTCGCCGGTCCAATCTTTGACGCTATGTGGCTCATATGCGTGGACGCGTACTCGCAGTTCCCATTTGTCATCCAAATGTCGTCTACAACAACCGCCAACACGATCGCTGCACTTTCTTCGATTTTCGCCATCGAAGGATACCCGAAAACCATGGTTAGCGACAACGGTCCTCAGCTTACAGCTGACGCCTTCGAAGAATTCTGCAAACTGCACGGTATAAAGCATATTACCACAGCACCGTTTCATCCAGCATCCAACGGATTAGCAGAGCGATTTGTACAGACATTTAAATTCGCAGTCAAGAAGAACCTCAAAGACGGTATACCACTTAGGGAAGCTGTAACAAAATATCTTTCTTCTTACAGGTTCACTCCAAACGCCCAAGGTAAAACTCCTGCCGAGTTAATCCACGGTCGACCAGTCCGCACCGTGCTTAGTCAACTTTTCGAGCAGCCTGTCGAGAATAAACGGACAATCACCAAGTACATCTCTAATCAAATGGTATACGCTCGAAACTATTCAAGGGAAGAAAAGTGGATTGAAGGCATTATCGACCGTCCAGTTGGAAAAATGCTGTTCATTGTTCGCACGTCAAATGGTTACATCAAGCGCCATTTCAACCAGCTAAAACCGAAGTTGTCAGCAAACCACTCAATCAAGAGACCTCCAGAGTTTTGGTGGATTCCTGAACTGCCAAAGCCATCCTGCAATCAAGAAATACAGCAACAAGATCGACCGCTAACTCCGCCAGTTGTTCAGCAATCTGATCCTGTTCCTGTTTCTCGTCCTCCTGAACGCGCAGCAGAGCCTACCCAGCAGCCGAGGCAGAACCAATCTACACGACGTCTTTCAGGCATACCAGTACGCCAAAGCAGCCGTGTTCGCCAGGAAGTCGATCGTTTTAAGCCAAAGGACTTCAGAAAAACTAAGCATATAAATAGTTCTTAATTAAAGGAGGAGATGTGTTATGTATAAGCAAAATGTATTCTCGTTACATCGCACATCCAAAACTAATCTGTATTCCTTCGTTCTATAAGCACACACATGTATACACACACACGTTACTTTTGTTCATTCTCTCGCTGATCTCTGAATAAAGTCAGTCTGTACCAAGCACTCACCGAGAACGCTCCTAACCAAACACAACAATATTTATTGTGGATCCTGTGTCTATAAGGCATTTGTATGCTATTTCTATGTACTGGTGTGGTCCGGGTCTGTTGACCGACAATGTTCGTTTGGTTCTGAGCTATTTGGATTTTGTTCATCTGTATTTTGGATGGATTGTACCTGTTACTGCCCTTCATTAATCACCCCGTGGTATTGATTGTGGTCATAATACTGTTGTTCATAATAATTAGGTTGTAATTCTTCGTATTCGTGCGCGTGTTGAAATTGCAATTGTCCAATAATCTAATACCGTAACCGTGAAGTTAGTATTTTTAGATGTGGAGGGCTGTTGTAGTTGATGGCATATTTTCCTTTAAAATATGATGTTTGAAGATTTTGAATTTTATTGGATTGTTGTGGGAAAGGATTTTGGTGAGTAATTGGTTGTGTGTTCATGTATGGCTTGGGTCAGAAATTAATTGGTACGTGTTACATAGCCTGGTTGTTAGGCATCTGCTGTGTACAGTAGGGTCTAATTGATTGAATGTATTGATTAAAATTAGGTTGGAATGGTTGAGAATATTGTGTGTAACATGCTCGATATTGGGTTTTGGTATTGATATTGAATATCTATGATGAAGAATTCTGATTAGGGTTTGCGTTTTTATTACGCTGTTCTGGATTTATATTCAATTCAAAATTATTTTGAATAATGAATGAATATTGATTCTATGATTTTGTGCGTACTTTACGATCTTAAGTCTGTAAAATCATGATGAACCAAAATAGTGAATAATTGTATTGGTAATTTTCATGGAATCTTAAATCGCCTGTACATTTTTTTAAATTAATTTTTATTTACAATCGGTCTAATGAGAATAAGTAAATTGTATGACTAATATTTACATAACTGGAATAGCAGATTTCCAGTGAAACCAACTATTAATTTAATTTCTCATTTTTCTTAAATTTACCTATCAGGGAGATCAAGAATTTGGAATCTTTTGAGTTTTCTGAATGTTAAGCTATTGTCAACTAGACCTAGGGCTAAATTATTTACATGATTGTGAAGTCTGTCTGTATATTTCTTACTATATTTTTTTATCTCTTCTTTAACAGTTGGAATATTTAGATTAGAAATATTCATTTGCATTGGTTACATAATATGGAGCGTTGACAATTTGTCCCAAGATTTTTAATTGGTTCAATATTTGAATTGCTAGCTGTTCCCCAGAGTTGGATACCGTAGGCCCAAACAGGCTTCAAAATGGCTTTGTAGAGAAGAATTTTGTTTTCCAAAGTGGCTGCTGATTTTCTACCTAGTAACCAGGACATTTTCAGTGTTTTCAGTCTGAGTTGTTGTCTTTTCGCTTTTATGTGGTGTTTCCATGTTAGTTTGCGGTCGAGGTGCATGCCAAGATACTTCACACAGGTATCTTGTGGAGCCTGTACATAAATAAGAAAATCTGGTTCGTTACCTTCCAGATGAAATTTCTAAATCAGCAGTTGACGTCGTCTTTCCGCTTCTTCGCAGAATGCTCTCACATTTCCTTTGTATGGTGTCTTTCTGAAGTTCTCTAGTAGTTTGTAATTCGGTGTTTGTGGTTTATATTCAGCATTTAATCTCGATCAATAGCCCAGTGATCGTGTTACGTGTCCGTCCAAGTTTCTTTCGATAGTTCCAAGTAGAATTCTCTGTGAAATTACATTATTCACCCTGCTGATAAAGGTGTAGAAAGTTTCTGGATCGCCCTTAAATGACATGATGTCTTTTAGCTGCCTCCGAGCTTGAGCTGGTTGTTGTCGTTTAGCATTACGATTTGTAAAGTTAAAATTTTGTTGTTACTGTACAAAAATAAAAATTAGTTTTTATTTATTTTATTATTATAAAAATTTTAGTGTTTACTTAACTTAATTTTCTTATAATTTTGTAAGATATTTTTTAACTGTTAGTTGCCTTTTTATACCCTTGCAGAGGGTATTATAATTTCAGTCAGAAGTTTGCAACGCAGTGAAGGAGACGTTACCGACCCTATAAAGTATATATATTCTTGATCGGCATCACTAGTAGAGTCAATCTAGCCATGTCCGTCTGTCAGTCTGTCTGTCTGTCCGTCCGTTTTTACGCAAACTAGTCTCTCAGTTTTAAAGCTATCTGCATAAAACTTTCCCAAAAGTTGTCTTTCTATTGCAGGTAGCATATAAGTCGGAACGAGCCGGATCGGACGACTATATAATATAGCTCCCATAGGAACAATCGAAAAAATAAGCAAAAAAAATTATAACTTTGTTGTTTTTTAATTTTTCTATTAGTTCTTGGACATATAGTAATGGTTAAATACTTCAGAATTACGGTTTAAATTTCATCAAAATCGGACGACTATATAATATAGCTCCCATAGGAACAATCGAAAAAATAAACAAAAAAAATTATATCTTTGTTGTTTTTTAATTTTTATTTTAGTTCTTCAAGATATAGTAATGGTTAAATATTTCAAAATTACGTTTTAAATTTCATCAAAATCGGACGACTATAGCATATAGCTCCCATAGGAAAAATCGTTTAGCTGCCATAGGAACTATCGAATAATTAAGCTGCAAATCATCATAGCTTCAATGATTTTAAACATACACGCAAGTAAATCATAATTTAAACGTTTTAAAGAGTATTTAGTTTTTGAAATAGCTGCAAGGGTATATAAACTTCCTTTCTTGTTACTTATTGTTTTTTTTGATTTTTTGATTTGATTTCACTTATTAAAGTTTTTGCTTAACATAATTTTCTTAAAATTGTATGTTGCATTTTTAACTGTTAGTTGCCTTTGGGCTTATTGTTTAGTTTTATTTTTATTGATCCTCTTTTGTTGGACAACCGAATTGGAATTATAATCCAATTGCAAGGCTTTTGAAATGTGCTGCGAAATTATTAATCGAGTACTGGTAATAAAATTTAATTTATTTTCCGCTGGAGGTTCTTTTTATACCCTTGCAGAGGGTATTATAATTTCAGTCAGAAGTTTGCAACGCAGTGAAGGAGACATCTCCGACCCTATAAAGTATATATATTCTTGATCAGCATCACTAGGCGAGTCGATCTAGCCATGTCCGTCTGTCCGTCCGTCTGTCCGTCTGTCCGTCCGTTTATATGCAAACTAGTCTCTCAGTTTTAAAGCTATCTGCATGAAACTTTCCCAAAAGTTGTCTTTCTATTGCAGGTAGTATATAATTCGGAACGAACCGGATCGGACGACTATAGCATATAGCTCCCATAGGAACAATCGGAAAAATAAAGGAAAAAAAATTATAACTTTGCTGTTTTTTTATTTTTTGGTTAGTTCTTCGACATTTAGTAATGGTTAAATATTTCCGATTTACGGTTTAAATTTCATCAAAATCGGACGACTATAGCATATAGCTCCCATAGGAACAATCGGAAAAATAAATGAAAAAAATTATAACTTTTCTGTTTTTTAATGTTTTGTTTAGTTCTTCGATATTTAGTAATGGTTAAATATTTTCGATTTACGAACAATCGGAGAAATAAATGAAAAAAAATTATAACTTTTCTGTTTTTTAATTTTTTGTTTAGTTTTTCGACATATGGCAATGTTTAATTATTTCAGAATTATGGTTTAAATTTTATCAAAATCGGTCGTCTATATCATATAGCTCCCATAGAACTAATAAAAATATATAAAATAACTATCTAATAATTGAGCTGCAAATCATCATAGCTTCACTGTTTTTCAGTATATACTGAAGTAAATCATAATTTAAATGTTTTCAAAAGTATTTAATTCATGCAATAGCTGCAAGGGTATATGAACTTCGGCTTGCCGAAGTTTGCTTTCTTTCTTGTTTTCTGATATATTGTGTATTCTACAGACTAGAAAATATTTATTATTTATTAATTGAGTCGAACTAAAACTTCGTCAATTGACTAAGGACAACGCTGAAAAGCATAAATATGCGAAGAATTAGTTTAACGCCTTTATTCGATTGATCTCAGCTTAAGATTAATTTCTTGTGACAAAAATCTTACTTAATGCCCTATGTTTACATTTGTTTGGAAACTAGTTCGCCCCCTTGGGAAATTGATTGTATACCATAACTTGAGAATAGGAATGCCTCTCAGGGAGCGGCACTTAGTTATTCCAAGAGTGGTTTATGATATTGAAGAGCGGCATCGCCTGCTCCGCCTGCATATTCTTATTTCATAACTGAATATTTCAATATGTCACCATATAGAACGCAGGAAAAGATGCAGTGTCCCAGTCAACGAGGCAGACAGATTCAACGTCAAGCGCAAGTCCAACACAATAAAAAATATAAAATACACTTCAGCTGAGTCGGAAAGATATAAGAACGGGTTCGCAGCTATACAAACCACTTGAACCTAGGAGAGTCATTGACCCCGGCCCCAAGGGCAGGAAAGGGCATACCTACAGTCCGGACCGGGCTATTTAGCGAAAGATAAGTAAACAATAACAAATCGATATAAAATTGCTCTTACCACATCATTGTGCAAAGTCATTATATGCTGGGAAATCTTTTCTCTCGCGCTTTGTGTTTTCATTTGATCCCAGTGATTGAGTGAGGTACTTAAATATTATTTTATTTTTTTGCGCAACAAATTACGTAATCGCTTCTAATTCTTACTATAAATAAAACAATTATTAATGATTATGTCTGTTACCTGTGCCAAAAAAGGTTGCCAGCTTTCATCTACATTAATAGACATGTTTATCCTCTGTTGGCTCTGCGATACAATCATGCAGGCAAAATGTGCAGGATTTGTTGGCAGAGTTAAAGATTACATTGACCTGCGGACTGGGCTC